CAAAAATGTTTATCACAGGGTCTTTGAAACGAGGTGCGTTGTCATTCACATCAGCGACGAGCACCGCAACCACACACGTGCTGGACAGGGGTGGAACCCCTTCGTCCGTGGCCTCTATTGTTAAATTATACTTGGTTGAGCGTTCTCTGTCCAGAGGCCCGTTTACCACTAATGAATAATGATTTTTGTACGTGTTCTTAATCGTAAACGGCACTGAATCGAGCATTCTAACTTTAACTACACCGTTTTTATCAGAGTCGTCATCTCTGACTGTTATAAGTCCAACCATTGTGTCCACGGCGGCGTCCTCCCTCACTACACCGACAAAAGACGTCACTGAAATATTCGGTGCATTGTCATTAATATCTGTGATTTCTATGAGCACTTTACAATGTGATGCTCTTGGACTTGATCCCTTGTCTTTAGCCTGGACACGGATTTCAACTGCATTGTTTTTTTCGTGGTCTAGCTCTCCGTTTACCGTGATTTCTCCGGTTATGGGATTAATTGCAAATTTACTTAAAACATTGTCATTGTCGTGGTTTATGAACGAATATTCTACTTCCCCGTTAGGACCCTCGTCTAAATCACGAGCATTTATAAGAATTACCGATGCACCTAGTGGTGTGTTTTCTGGCACTATCGCTTTGTACAACGGCTTGTCAAATACTGGGATATTATCATTGACATCCTGCACGTTAACTGTTATATGTACAGTCCCTGACTTTGGAGGTTTTCCTCCATCGACAGCTGTCAGTACGAGTTTTACCACTGTCTTTTGTTCTCGATCTAAGGGTTTCTGCAATACCATCTCAGCGGACAAAGGATGATCCCCATCATTCTGTACATCCAGAGTGAAATGTTCGTTCTGGCTCAGCTTGTAGCTCTTTACGTTATAACTACCGACATCTGCGTCAAAGGCGTTCGGTAGAGTGAATCTTTCACCGGGAATAGCTGACTCGGACACGTTTAAAACAATTCCTGGAATGCGAAATGTAGGCGCGTTGTCATTTATATCCAATATTTTAACCTCAAAGCGATAGAGACCAAGGGGAGCGTTGATGATGGCTTCCACCTCCAGGGAACACTTCATATTGCGGGAGCATAGCTCTTCTCTGTCTATTCTGTCTCTCACCAGGAGTACCCCAGTCTTGGCGTTTACTTCCAAATACCTCGTGTTGGGTCCGGAGATCTGAAAGCCTCTGTTTTCTAGCTCGTTAACATCTAAATGTAAATCCTTGGCCAAAGGGCCGACGGTGGTGCCGATGCTCGATTCCTCCGTAAGCGAATACGCGATCTGCGTTGCTGTAAGACTCCATAGGTGAAATAGATTGAGAAAAAAATAAATCCAATGTCGGCCAAGTGCCCGTTTATGCTTCCTGTCCGTCATCTTTGAGATACATTAGCTACAATACATCCAACACTAACATGTTACAACGGCCAAGTCCAACCAGACCGTAGTATATACTGCTGCGAACAAAGAATTCCACAGTCTCTCTCTTTTAACGTCAGGAGATGTGTTTTTACTCTGTAAGGCGATAGCGACATCTTGTGGTAATTTCAATATTATTAGCAAAGTACAACCCACTGAAAAAGGGACAAAGCCGAAAGAAAAAGAAGAAACCCAGAAATAAAACTCGTTTGAGTTTTATAGAAAAATATGTTTGAAATGTATGGTTATACACAACACCAACTGCTAAAGTCAAAGGTTACTATAAATGTAAAAATGAAAATTATTTTTTCTCACACAGTTCTCCTATGATCACACCTGAATACGCCAAAAAAAATTCCATATCAAATGTACACGTACTGTAAAACAAAACCATGACAGTGTTGAAATGTTACGTTTTGGTCTGCGTTGTATTTTATGTGATTTTAACCTTACCTTTTCTTTATTAGGCAAAGTCTGAGTCTTTGTAAACGTGTCTATCCCACTGATGCTGATAAGTTCCGCATCAGCAGGTGGAAACGGTGCCGGGAAAACAACGACATCACTTTTGAGAGTGTCTGAATTGAAACACACATCATACTGCTGGGTCTCTTTGGAATAAGACCAGCTCCCGTCAGGGTGGGTGGTGATCATGGGGGCGCTGTACCTGCTGAAACTGTTGTCAGTTCTGTGGCATTTGACAGCTATCAAACTGATGAGGCTCAGCAGAAAGATGACCGATACCGATACAATGGCGATCAGCAGGTACATGTTCAAATCAGAAAAGTTCTCCTCCTTCACTGGCACGTGTCTGAACTGAGTCTGGATGTCAGTAGAACTTTCAACCACCACCACCTCTATAGACACAGTAGCTGTCAGAGAAGGTTCTCCACTGTCAGAAACCAGCACCACCACTGGGTGAGTTTTCAGGTCATTGTCACTCATTCTCCTCTTAGTCTTAATTTCTCCAGTGCTGGTTCCAATCCGAAATAGGTTGTTTCCTTTGGTTTCAGTGAGGTGATACGAAAGCAACGCATTGTATCCAGAATCTGCATCAACAGCCCTGATTTTAGCCACAATGTGTCCTGCTTCAACGTTATAGGGGACGGTCTCACTGTTGACGGAACTGTGTTCAGAATACGGTGCCAGAATAACAGGACTGTTGTCATTCTCATCCAGAATAAAAACATTCACAGTGACGTTGCTGCTGAGTTGAGGAACACCAGAGTCTGTGGCCTGAATCTTGAACTGAAGTGTTTTTAACTCCTCATAGTTAAAAGACTGCAGACTGGTTAAATCTCCAGTTTCTGAGTTCATGCTCACAAAAGATGTTATTGGAAGATCCCTAAATTTGTCATCCAATAAAGAATATGTTACCATTGCATTTTCTTCTCTGTCAAGATCAACTGCAGTTACAGTTATGAGTGAACTTCCTACTGCACTATTCTCTTTTATGTATGCATTGATCACAGGGTTTGGAAACAGAGGTGCATTGTCATTCACGTCAGAAATGTGAATAGAAACAACACTGGTGCTGGACAGCGGTGGCGTCCCTTCATCTGTGGCTATGACTGTAACATTATATTGAGAAACGCTCTCTCTGTCTAGAGGCCCATCAACTACTAATGAATAATAATTCTTATAGTTTATCTTTAGTTTAAAGGGAACAAGATCAAGAATTTTGGCACTTGCAAGACCATTGTTACCGCCATCTTTATCTGTCACCGTTACTAAAGCAACCACTGTGCCTATTGCTGCATCTTCTTTGACTGGGCTCATTAGAGAGGTAATAATTATTTCAGGCATGTTGTCATTGACATCGGTGACTTCTAGTAACACTTTCCCGTGGACACGTCGAGAAGGCGTTCCCTTGTCTTTCGCCTGTACACGAATATCATATGCTGTATGCTCTTCATAATCTACTTTGCCTTTTACAGTAATTTCCCCTGTGTCTGGGTTAATAGAGAACACAGATTCGGGATTGAAATTTCCACTTTCAATAAATGAGTATATTATTTCGCCATTTGTTCCTTCATCCAAATCAGTGGCACTAACTGTGAGGACGGACGTCTGAAACGGAGCATTTTCTATGACTTGGGCCTTATACAGAGATTTACTGAACACTGGGACATTGTCGTTTATATCAATAACAGACACCTCTATTTCTAAAGTCCCAGACCGCACGGGTTTTCCTCCGTCTAAAGCGGTTAAAGTCAGATGGATGATGGATTGTTTCTCCCTATCTAAAGATTTAACCAGTACTAACTCAGCATGCTCGTTTTGCTGTCTGCTGCCCTGTTCATCCAGTGAGAAATATTCATTTGTACTGAGCTTGTATCTTTGGACTGAGTTACTGCCCGTGTCTGCATCATTCGCCATTGGAAGCAGAAACCTCTCTCCGGTGAAAGACGATTCAGAGATATTAAAAGTCTGTACCTTTTCTCGAAAAGACGGTGCGTTATCATTAATATCATTAATCTGGATCTCAATGCGCTGCACCTGCGTAGGGTGGCTCAAAATCGCTTCTATATTCATGGAACATTTCGGCGTATTTGTGCACAGCTCCTCGCGATCAATCCTATCGCAAACGAACAGAGCGCCCGTTTGCAAATCCACGTCAAAATATTTATGAAAATTCCCAGCAACAATTCGTAGATCCCGTCTTTCCAACTCCTGGACGCTCATTTGCAAATTCTTTACAAGATTCCCCACTACCGTTCCTTTGTCCACCTCCTCTGAAACGGAGAAGGACAGCTGCGCCGTACATCCATCACACAGAGAAAGCAACACAAATATTAGTATCCAGACCGAGTCCGACAGTTTCCCGTGTCCCATCGCTGACGAAGTACAAAACAAATACGATTTTTTGATCATTTCCAAGATCAGCAAGCAACAGACCGAGGCTTCTCTGTCGCGTGGACATATGTGTTTTCCAACAAAGCTCCTGCCGACTCTGGTGCCTCGCACGCAGAGGAGGAGTCTGGGAAGAAACAAAATGGGCTACAACAAATTGAATGGTCTCGAGCGACACCAACTGCTATTTAGGTGTAACTGTACGATGCCGTCACTGTTTCATTAAAGAGGTAAAGAGAGAAAATGAAAGCCAAATTTAATGAAAACGTATTTATATATATATATATATACATATACATACATACATATATACATATACGTATATATGTGTGCGTGTTTATTTGAGTGTGCACGTTTAATGACAAAGACAAAACGGTTCGTTGTTCAGCACCATGGACAGCACAAGTGCTGAACGTTTTAGTAATGCGTTGGGCGAAGGATTTTCTCTGACGAAAATGCGCATTAAGCAGCATGTTACATGGTTTACTTCCTACCAGAGAACGACAGATAAATAGTGGGCACATAAACGAATCACACAAGTGAATTAAAACAGACAATGTCGACCACGACACAACCATATAACACCATGACAACAAAAACACCATTTAACGACTTTCAGGGAACACATATTATTATATAAGTTCAACAAAACATCTGCAACAGGTGAAAATATTCTTTTATATTTTATCAACTCTTAATCTCGAAATGGACCACGTTTTTAGTAACTCACCTTTTCTTTATTTGGTAAAGTCTGAGTCCTGTTAAACGTGTCTCCTCCATTTATACTGATCAGCTCCCCATCTAGAGGTGGTAACTGTGCAGGGAAAACCACTACGTCACTCTTTAGAGTGTCTGAACTGAAGCAGACGTCATACTGCTGAGTTTCTTTGGATTAAGACCAGCTCCCGTCAGGGTGTGTGGTGATCATGGGGGCGCTGTACCTGTTGAACCTATTGTCGGTTCGGTGGCATTTGACGGCTATTAAACTGATGAGGCTCAGTAGAAAGATGGCCGACACTGACACGATGCCAATCAGAAGATAGAGGTTCAAAGAAGAAAAGTTGTCCTCCTTTATTGGCACATGTCTGAACTGAGTCTGGATGTCAGCTGAACTTTCAACCACCACCACCTCTATAGACACAGTGGACGTCAAAGAGGGCTCGCCATTATCAGAAACCTGCACCACTACAGGATGAGTTTTCAGGTCATTGTCACTCATTCTCCTCTTAGTCTTAATTTCTCCAGTGCTGGTTCCGATCCGAAACAGGTTGTTTCCTTTGGTCTCAGAGAGGTGATAAGAAAGAAGTGCGTTGTATCCAGAGTCTGAGTCTACAGCCCTGACCTTTGCCACAATGTGTCCTGCTTCAACATTATAGGGTATGGTCTCACTGTAAACAGAGCCGTGTTCAGAATATGGCGCAAGAATATTGGGACTATTATCATTGTCATCTAGAATGAAAACGTTTACAGTCACGTTGCTGTTGAGCGGAGGAACACCAGAGTCTGTGGCCTGGACTTTAAACTGGAACGTTTTTAACTCCTCGTAATTGAACGACTGTAAACTGGTTAAATCTCCAGTCTCCGAGTTGATGTTTATAGTAGAAGTTATAGGAACATTTTTTGAGTCAGCAATAACGGAGTACGTTACTTTTGCATTTTCATTGATGTCGGGATCTACTGCAGTTACAGTGAAAATACGATTTCCAACTGGACTGTTTTCTTTTACATAAATGTTAATAAATGGCTGAAGGAAACGAGGTGCGTTATCATTGACGTCAGAGACATGAACAGTAAGAACGCTACTAGTGGACAGGGGTGGGACCCCCTCATCAGTAGCCTGAATTGTGACATTGTAAAATACATTTTTTTCTCTGTCCAATGAATCATCTACCACTAAAGAGAAGTAATTTTTATAATTCGGTTTTAGCTTAAACGGTGCAGAGCCAACTAACTTACAATTAGTTTGACCGTTTTTTCCGCCGTCTTTATCGGTCACAGTCACCAATGCCACAACACTGCCTATTTCAGCATCCTCTTTTACAGGATTCATTAGTGACGTCACTACAATTTCTGGGGCATTATCGTTAATATCAACTACTTCCACCAGAAGCTTCCCGTTTGCCCTCCGCGGAGAGGAACCTCTGTCTGTCGCTTGAACATGAATTTCATACGCGGCCTGTGTTTCGTGATTTAAGTCCCCTTTAACCGTGATCTCTCCCGTTTCTGCGTTTATAAAAAACATATCTGCAGGATTGAAGTTAGCACGCTTGACAAAAGAGTAAACTACTCTCCCGTTGTCGCCGTCGTCTAAGTCCGTGGCATTAAGATGTATCACTAATGACCCCACCGGAGAGTTCTCATTTATCCGTGCCTTGTAAAGTGTCTTGCTAAATACAGGCGTGTTGTCGTTGACGTCTAAAACGTTGACGTGTATATGTACCGACCCACTCTTGGGAGGATTGCCGCCGTCTACAGCCGTCAGTGTCAGCTTAACAACAGACTGTTTTTCTCTATCTAGAGGTTTCACTAGCACTAACTCAGCAGAGACACTCTGTTCTCCGTTATTCTGCACGTCTAAGGAGAAATATTCATTCGGTCCCAGTTTGTATGTTTTTATAGAATTACTACCTGTATCTGCATCGAGACCCAGAGGAAGCAAAAAGTGCTCGCCGGTTGGAGAAAATTCAGATATATTCAGAGAATGAGAATCCTCCACGAATGTAGGTGCGTTGTCATTTATATCAACAATCACCACCTCAATGCGGCGGAGCACCATGGGGTTGTTCAGTATAGCCTCGAAGTTTAGCGTGCATTTCACAGCGCTGGGACAAAGCTCCTCACGGTCTATTCGCTCGTTCACATACACGTCCCCCGTCTTAACATTTGCCTCGAAATATTTCTTACTGTATCCCGAAACCATGTTGAAATTCCTTGTTTGCAGATCCCGAACGTTGACATTTAAATCCTTAGCGATATTCCCCACCACCGTCCCTTTGTCCACCTCCTCAGAAACAGAGTATGAAATCTGTGCAGTGCACCAGTCAGATAGAAACAGGACAAAGAGCCAAGAGAAGATTTGTTCATTCCGTCTGACGTCCATTGTCCAAACAAGGCCACGAGGAAAACTGTACATCCCAGAAAAACGCGACTAAACACTACAGTATTCAATGGAATCCACCCCAGTCCTGTGCTCTCATCGCGATCTCTGACAAAGAACTCGCCGTTTGCCCTGCGTCACAACAAGAGGAGGAGACTGAAAAATCAAACTAAAATTAAGTTGTGGTCAATTGCGACCCCTTGCGTCAAAACAGAAGGATTAATAAAAGCTAGATTAAAAAAAAAACTGCCCCCTCAGCTTTTTATCACTCAATTTGACTTAAAAATTCGTGATTTGAAATCAGTTTAAATATACACAATAGTTTATATAAGATTTTCACTTGTTTTTTCTGTTCAGTCACACAGGAAACCGAGAGTGGTGTTTTCAGCACAACGGATAGCGCACATACACGTCACAGTATGACAAATATTTTTCAAATAATCAGGGAAAAATCTAATTAAAATATTTTTGCTACAGTGAAATAGACAAGAGGTTGCATTTTGGGGCAAATGCTGGAAATGCTTAGGTTTTAAAAAGTGGACCAGGGCATAATATATTTAAACAGAACTTTTTTCTGGATAAACTTTTAACTCACCTTTTCTTTATTGGGTAAAGTCTGAGTCCTGTTGTACGTGTCTCCTCCATTTATACTGATCAGCTCCCCATCTACAGGTGGTAACTGTGCAGGGAAAACCCCTACGTCACTCTTTAGAGTGTCTGAACTGAAGCAGACGTCATACTGCTGAGTTTCTTTGGAGTAGGACCAGCTCCCGTCAGGGTGTGTGGTGATCATGGGGGCGCTGTATCTGTTGAACCTGTTGTCTGTTCGGTGGCATTTGACGGCTATTAAACTGATGAGGCTCAGTAGAAAGATGGCTGACACTGACACGATGCCAATCAGAAGATAGAGGTTCAAAGAGGAAAAGTTATCCTCCTTTGTTGGCACATGTCTGAACTGAGTCTGGATGTCAGCTGAGCTTTCAACCACCACCACCTCTATAGACACAGTAGCTGTCAGAGAAGGTTCTCCACTGTCAGAGACCAGCACTATTATAGGGTGGGTTTTCAGATCATTGTCACTCATTCTCCTCTTAGTCTTAATTTCTCCAGTGCTGGTTCCAATTCGAAACAGGTTGTTTCCTTTGGTCTCAGTGAGGTGATAAGAAGGCAGTGCTTTGTATCCAGAGTCTGCATCAACAGCCCTGATCTTTGCCACAATGTGTCCTGCTTCAACATTGTAAGGGACGGTTTCGCTGAAAACGCTGCTGTGTCCATTATATGGCGCTAAAATAACAGGGCTGTTGTCATTCTCATCCAGAACAAACAGATTCACAGTCACGTTGCTGCTGAGTTGAGGAACACCGGAGTCTGTGGCCTGGACTTTAAACTGAAACGTTTTTAGCTCCTCGTAGTTGAACGACTGCAGACTGGAAATATCTCCAGTCTCCGAGTTGACGGTCAAAATAGAAGTTAGCTGGATGTTTTTTGGTACACTGTTTAACATTGAGTAGGTCAACTTTGCATTTTCATCTAGATCTGGATCAAAAGCGCTCACAGTATGAACGACTGATCCAGTTGGAGAGTTTTCTTTCACATAAATGTTAATCACAGGCTCATTGAATCGAGGTGCGTTGTCATTGACGTCAGACACATGAACAGTAATGATCCTGTGGCTGGACAGAGATGGACTTCCTTCATCTGTAGCTGTAATAGTGATGTTATAAAGATGTATTTTTTCTCTGTCCAGTGGTCCATCTACTACCAATAAATAGTCATGTTTATAGTTTGACTTCAGAGTAAACGGAACTGAACCCTCAACCCTACAGCGAACTGCACCGTTGCTTCCTTTATCTTTGTCACTCACTGTTATAAAAGCAACTACTGTTCCTAATTCTGCGTCCTCTTTTACCGGCGTCACCAGTGACGTCACTAATATTTCTGGGGCATTATCGTTCACGTCAATAATCTCTATCAATAACTTAGCATGTGCACTTCGAGGCGGGTTGCCCTGGTCCATTGCTTGGACTCTGACCTCATAAGCAGGCGTCTCTTCATGATCTAACGTTCCCTTCACTGTAATTTCTCCAGTTTCTGAATTTAGATCAAATAAATTTGAAGGATCAACATTTCCCTTTTTGAGAAATGAGTACAGTATCACACTGTTCAGGCCTTCATCCAAGTCAGTGGCATTTAATTTGATAAGAAGTGACCCTGGGGGCGCATTTTCTCTGACACGCACTTTGTAAAGGGATTTGCTAAATGTAGGTATATTATCATTAACGTCGATCACATTTACGATTAACTCTAAAGAACCAGATCTTTGCGGTTTACCTCCATCCATAGCTGTTAACACGAGTCTGATCACCGACAGTTTTTCTCTGTCTAGAGCCTTCTGCAGCACTAACTCAGCAGACACGCCGTGCTCGCCACCGCTGTGCACATCAAGAGAGAAATGTTCGTTTTCATTTAGCTTGTAGCTCTTCACTGAGTTACTGCCGATGTCTGCGTCTACTGCTATTGGGACAAAATAACGCTCGCCAGTTAATGACGATTCAGAGATGTTCAGTGAATATGTTTTTTCAACAAAAGACGGCGAGTTATCGTTTATGTCTAATATATTGATTTCCACACGGTGAACAACCATCGGGTTACTCAAAACAGCCTGAATATTTAAGGAGCATTTTTCCTCACTGGAGCAAATCTCCTCTCTGTCTATTCTCTGGTCAACAAAGATGTTACCGTTCTGCGAATTCACGGCAAAATATTTCTTACTGTAACTCGAGACAATTCGAAGATCTCTGGTGTCTAGTTCCTTGACGTTGATATTTAGATCCTTTGCAATGTTCCCCACTACGGTGCCTTTGTTCACCTCCTCGGAAATCGAGTAGGACAACTGCGAAGCGGACGAGTCACAAAGGGAAAGGACTGCAACAATGTAAATCCATGAGGTTTCTGTCTGCCGTCGAAAATACATCGTGGACGCAGAAAAGAAGTGGCCGCACGAAATAATTTATATCCAGTGTTGGTGTTTCCATTCACAATACGGTTATCGTGTTGTTGGTCCTGCTCTTCAAGTCTCGGCCCCTTTTAGTGCGAGTGACTGAGGACGATTTCCTTTATGCAACGCAGGGAGGAGTTTTGTGCAAATGAAGTACGTACATTAAGAGTTGTGGTCTGTTGCGACCTCGTGTGGTGAAAGATGGGTAAGACCGTAAGACTGTGTTCATTAGTTGGCTACAATGGGTTTTCTAACACAAACAAATTCGAGGAGTAAAAGATAAACATTATTGAGAATATTCCATTCAATTCAACTATCAATTCATACAGCCATGAGTATTTCAATTCTCTATGGTTCCAGTACAGTAGTTGATGATAATCTCACTTGAGATATGGCAAAGAAAAAGTGCACAAGAAACAAGTCAAATTTGAAATCCATCAACACCATTCCTTTAAGTCGATGACAGTAATATGTATAAGGCAATTGAACAACTATTTTTTTCAACAAGTGACCAAATGTTGTAGGTAGAAACTTCAGCACCACGGACAGCACAGTTTCAGGCAAGGCAAGGGACATTTGCCAGTTGCACGTGGGTGATTATTGCAGCATTTCATTTTAGGAAAAGACACTTGGAAATCACTTCATATTTTTAAAAGTCTGTCACAGAGAGCCACGAGTCTCAAATATTTGGTTTTGAAAACAAATGACGAAAAGAACTATATAACACAGTGATGAGAGTCGGGATACTGAGAATACGCCAACACCGTTTGACGAGTGAACATATGCTGCCGCATATTCAGCACCACGGATAGCGCATTTTCAGGAAGGACAAAGGTTTGCCAGTCGCACACAGCTAAAACACTAGTAAAATTTTGAATATGCAAAATGGATTGTAAGAAAACCCGGTGCGTATTTATTTAAAGAAAGAAGAGTCTTGCACAGAGAGCCAAGAGTCTTAAACATTTGGTTTTGCAACCAAATAATAGAAAAGCTATAGTCACCAAGAGAGGAAAGTCAAAGCACCAAGAATACACACTTTTCACTCACTAAATACCCAACATCCCTAAACCGTAACAACTATTTCAACACTTCGTGGATTGGAAATCGGATGTTTGATTTCATTCAAACATAACACAAATAACTCGTTCAATACATAATACTACAACTCACCTTTTCTTTGTTAGGTAACGTCTGAGTCCTGGTGTACGTGTCTGCTCCATTAATACTGATCAACTCAGCATCCACAGGCGGAAACGGTGCAGGGAAAACTACTACGTCACTCTTGAGAGTGTCCGAGCTAAAGCAGACGTCATACTGCTGGGTAGCCTTGGAATAAGACCAGCTCCCGTCAGGGTTGGTGGTGATCATGGGGGCATTGTATCTGTTGAAACTGCTATTCCCCTTATGACATCTGACAGCTATTAAACTGACAAGGCTCAATAAAAAGATGGCTGACACGGCCATGATGGCGATCAGCAGATAGAGGTTTAAAGCAGAAAAGTTCTCCTCTTTCACGGGCACGTGTCTGATATGAGTCTGGATGTCAGCTGAGCTTTCAACTACCACCACCTCTAAAGACAGGGTAGATGTCAGAGAAGGTTCTCCACTGTCAGAGACCAGCACCACCACTGGATGAGTTTTCAGATCATTGTCACTCATTCTCCTCTTAGTCTTGATTTCTCCAGTGCTGGTTCCGATCCGAAACAGGTTGTTTCCTTTTGTCTCAGTGAGGTGATAAGAAAGCAGTGCGTTGTATCCAGAGTCTGCATCAACAGCCCTGATCTTTGCCACAATGTGTCCTGCTTCAACATTATATGGGATCGTCTCACTGTAAACGCTGCTGTGTCCAGTATATGGCGCTAGAATAACAGGACTGTTGTCATTCTCATCCAGAACAAACAGATTTACAGTCACGTTGCTGCTGAGCGGAGGAACACCGCAGTCTGTGGCCTGGACTTTGAACTTGAATGTTTTTAACTCCTCAAAGTTTAAAGACTGGAGACTCGTGATGTCTCCAGTCTCCGAGTTGATTGTTACAACAGTTGAAAGAGGAACAACCTTTGGAGTTGTGTCTAATAATGTGTAAACCAGCTTTGCATTTCGGTCTAAATCGGGATCAAATGCGCGTATTGTATAAACGACTGATCCAGTTGGAGAATTTTCTTTTACATAAATGTTAATCACAGGCTCAGTGAAACGAGGTGCGTTGTCATTGACGTCAGACACATGAACAGTAATGATCCTGTGGCTGGACAGAGATGGACTTCCTTCATCTGTAGCTGTTATTGTAACATTATAAAGAGAAGTGTTTTCTCTGTCCAGTGGTCCATCAACTACTAATGAATAATCATGTTTATAGTTGGACTTGAGTTTAAAGGGAATAGGACCCTCAACCTTACATTTAACTGCACCGTTAGCTCCACCATCTTTGTCACTCACTGTTATAAAAGCAACTACTGTTCCTAATTCTGCGTCCTCTTTTACAGGCGTGACCAGTGACGTCACTGATATTACTGGGGCATTATCGTTCACGTCAATAATCTCTATCAATAACTTAGCATGTGCACTCCGTGGCGGGGTGCCCTGGTCCA